TGTACATATTGTAATACAGTGCTTTTAGGTATTAACTTACATGTCATTATTTGTTTTGGTAGTTCCTATACTTAACAGGTACTCAAAAAAATCTGATTTTTAAATTCCCAAGATTAAATTTCTCTCTTTAAAAAAAATTAATCACCATTCAATGCAGGAATATAATCTTAAACCAAATTATTTAATTAAATGGTTAAATGTTTTCTAACTAATAGTTTATATGCCAGACTCTTAAGAAAATTAATATACAATCTAATTTTTTCTAATTTCCACTTCTGTGCCCACACAGCACTTAAAAGATTTTCCAAATGTTTTTACATATATTTCATTCTTATTGTAAGGTATGTGTAGTAGTTAGGGTAGATGTCTCCACCCAAATTTTACAAACAAAAAAAAAGTAACACTCAAAGGACTGAAAAGAGGAACCCTGTATATCACTATTAAGTAGCAGCGAGGAGGAAAATACACATCTTGTGATCCTCATCCAATATCTTATCATACTATGTTACATAGACACCTCTAAAAGAGGAAATTTCCTAGTATTTTTTTCTTTATGCAGGAAAAAGTACATTTATTTTTAATGTTTCAATTTTTAAAAATTCTACTTAAATGAAACCATACTTATTTTAAACCATATTTAGAAATACTTAATAGAAAAAAAAATTACTAAAATACACAGATCCTCATAGCCTAGACTCAATTTTTTTGGATTACAGATGGTTTTAAAATGTATTTCCAGTTTTCTTTCATCAATACTTCTCTTACCAGTTTGTTTGTTTTTTTTTAAACTCAATTAAAGTACAAGAATGCAGAGAAAGAAAAAAACAGTAACTTCTTCAAGTCTTTTTCCAGCTCCCTGGTCTAAGAGCGTATCTTCCCTTATCAAAAGGAAGAAAATGTGTCAACTTTTTTCTTGAATTTGTTTCTCTTCTGAACTCTTATTAGACTTTATATACAATGACAAATACATTTCAGCCTAAATTCTTAACAGCCTTACTTCTATTATAGCATCACATACTGACAACTTGTAAATATCAATAAGTCTTATACAACATTTAAACACAAAATAAACTAGCCTCATTTCAAATCCTGTAACAGGACTCAGAATGTACTTTGTTAAATTTTTTTTAACTATTTCATAAACCATTAGAAATCCACATACCTTCCTTCTACCACTCAGAAGATGGCACAAAAAAATGGCTATCTATGTATTCATTCAGTAACTACTGAGGGCTTGCTAGGTGCCAGCACATGTAAAAACAAATAACAGTCTCCACCCTCATGAAACTTCTATAATCATATATTAAAGGTACTAGTAAAAATCTAAATAGCAAAGCATTTACATGTAGACTTTTCTAAAGTTCTAGAAATATTTCCCTATTCCACCTCTACTCCAAAAGCATTATTACGAAAAACAAAACAAAACTGAGCGTAAACACCATTCGTTTAGTAAGCCTGAAAAAGTCTTTGAGATTTAAGTGAGATATATAAAAGAAACTTTTTTTAAAGTCCTTTAATTCACCCCAAAGCTGCTTTAGATTCAAAATACAATGATCATGTAATTAAAACTGATAAAATTTCTTCAATAAAAGACTCAATAAAATTTTTCAGCAAGCTAGTAATTTAACCACAATGTAACAGCAATGCCAAGAAATCATTTTAGTGCATTATTATAAACAATAAAAGGCAGAGTACAGGAAATCAGTTAAACAGGAAAGTATCTTAGTGATTCTACACCCTTCTCTTTCTCTCTCTAAAAACCAATAAATAGAATTTTTAAAAAAATAGATAAAAGGAAATGGGGCTAGCAAAGATGATAATCAATTCAATTTTATACACATTTGAGGCATGGTAAAATGTCCAAGTGGATAATACTGGAATCAACTGGGAATATAGGACTAGGGCTCATGAAAAGACCTGGCCTAAAAAAAGAGATCTGGAAGAAATACTAAACAAACAAACAAATGTAAAAAAGAGAAAGAAAAAAAATTGGAAATGACTAATAAATTGAGATTATTTTAGGGCACATATTATTTTGTGCCAAAGTAACATAACAAAAGCTAAGTACCAGAAATATATAAAAGGAGATATCAATTAACTGGTTAAAATATGGTAATTTCAAGTAAAACAATGTTTCTTACCTACTATTTTCCACAGCCTTCATAGCATATTCAACTTGAAAAACTCTTCCATCAGGAGAGAATGTAGAGGCTGACAGGTCATACTATGAGGAAAAAGGCAGTAATTAGCCTCTAATGATGTATCTTGGGCAGTAATAGCTTTACAATTCTTTTTCTAAACGACTTAAACATCACAAATGTGTGTTAAATCTCAACAAAGACTTTGCCTGTCACAGCAGCCACAGCAGCTAAGGGAAAAATTACACACTTTAGATTTCTACCACTGAAAAACAATAGATAAAATAAACTTTTTTCACACAAAACACAAAGCTCATGGTATGGCAGAAATAGCATTGGAGTCAGACCATTCTAATTCATAGCTGTGGCACTAACAAACTGAAAGACCTTAGACAAATCATTTAGCATTCAAACATTTAATAAGCATGTCACTATAAGGTAATACGAAGAATACTCACTCTTTAATTCATTTTAAATCAGACCAGGAACAAATCGAGGTGCTGGAGAAACAGCAGTAACCCAGAAAAAAAGGACTATCATGAAAATAACACAGGGTGAAATGATAAGTCAGGGGAACTACTAGAAACTACCTGATCAAGAAAGGTCTCACTGGGGCAGTTTATATTTAGTCAGTAAGACTGGGTCACAAATAAATAAGGAGTTAACTAGCCATCTAGGATCTGGAAGAGCCATCCTGTTATCCGGTATAAAGACCGAAAGGTAGAAATAAGCCTAGCACAATCACGGAAAAGTAAGACCACTGTGTCTTGAGTGCTCTAAGTGGTAGAGAGAAAACTATATTAGAGACATGTAAGAAAGGGCCAAACTATGAGTCTTCTAGGCTGGAATATGAAGTTTATATTTTGTTCTAAATACAATAAGAAGCTGTTGGAACTTAAAGAGGGGGTGTGATATGATCTAATTTTTTAAAATGAGAAATGAATTGCACAGGGAACAAGAGTAGACACAGAGACCGGGTATTCCAAAAGTGGCACTTCAAATAAAGAAAAAGAGATGGAAGGAGTATCTTTTGAGGTAGAGACACCCCCTCCCCCAAAAAAAACCCCTGCTAATGGATTGGCTTTAGGAGTAAAGTAAAAAAGAAATTAAAGGTAAGTCAGATTTTTTTTTCATTTGAGCAACTAGATCTGGACCATTCACTGAGCTGAAGGTTGTAGGAGATGAAAGTACTAAGTAAAAAAAAAAAAAAAGGAAAAGAAAAGAAGGAAAAAAGGAAAAGAAATTAAAGGTGAACCATAGTTTTTCACCTGAGCAACCAGAACTGGACCACTCACTTAAGACTGAAGGTGGGAGGACATGCAAAATGGCAAAGAGCTCTTCTTAGGATATGTAGTTTGAAATGCCTACTGCACAATCAAGTGGAGAGAAATGTCAAGTAGACAGGCCTTCTTATCGGAGTTTTTGTGAAATGAAGACAGGTGGTAAGCTCTCAACAGTGGTGCTTCCTTGAGCCTCAGTTTTCTAATGTGTTAAATGAAGATCCTTAACTCTACCACTGTCATAACAAATATCTCATGTGGTTATATTATCGAGTATTTTTACAGGGTTTGCAGAATGAAACACTATCAATTGAAGGTAACATTAATCCAGTTGCAAAGTCAATTTGCTACAATATGCATTACTGAGCAACCACGATTGCTAAAAAATATATGAGACATAATTTTAGCATGACATAAAACCAAATGGATTAAACCATTCCAAACCTAAGTTGCCTGTTATCAAACTTGGAAAACCAATATTTGGGCTTAAGGCTGAGTATTAAATTCTTGTCAACTGTAGACACAGATGAACTAAGAAACCCACTACTCTAAGCCTTAATGCAAACAACCAATATATATTTCTAAACAAAACTACGCTTTCAATATGGATAAATACATAAAAGAAGCAAAATACTATATATATGCAATACACATAACAAAAGAAAGTAATAAGCATAACAAGTTAAGTCCAACTTCAAAAACCTCATCAGCGGTTAGGTCCTGGCTAACCACGGTAGTGTGTTAAATGTTCTGTACAGGAAAAGCTGGGACAGAAGGCGGAAAGGATTCCTCAGATTTCATTTTCTCAGACCAGTTTTCTTATTAGTTCTGTCCCAGCAGGGTTTCCAGGGGGTTATACTGAGCGACTGATCCTACATTCGCAGGATGGAGAAGGCCCCGTGAGTCAGCAAGACCCTAGCAACTGCATGGAACTGTCCCATGGAAAGCTGGGTCTCAGACCTTGGAATCTCAAGCCCCTGGCCTCAGTGGTTCTCACGAAGGGGCTGACGCCCAAACCTTTCACACTAACTGAGGCTCCAAGAGTTTCCACTTTCGGTTTCCTTGAGAGGCTAAAGAAAGTGACTCAGCAATCCAAAGCGGCTCCAAATCTTACAGCTCCGACGCCAGGCCCGCTACACCTGAGCTTCAAAGCTTCCGGTCACCATCCCCGCAGACTCGGGCCTAGAAATGAGCATGGGAAAAACACCTGGAAGCGACCCACTTGGTCGAACGCAGTCCCTGTGCATCCCAAACTGTTGCACCCTAAGCGGCCTGCCAGACTTGACTGCAATGCTAATCCTTTGACTAGACCATCACACCTACAGACAATGAACTCACCCCCGTGCCGATCGAGCTCATCCTGCTAAATCCAGCCGAACGTGTAGAGCTTCAGGGCCTAAAGCGGTCCCCCTATAACGCAGCACGCAGACTAGTAACAGGCGCTCTCATTGGCTGCTTTTCCAACCAATAGCCTTCTCTGTGGCTCGTACCTCGGTCATTAGCCCGGGGAACAGAGGATTGTGGGAAAAGGAGAGGACTAATGAGGCGGGTGACGCGCACTTGCAGTAGCGACGGGGGTGGGGTTAGGGAAGAGCAGGGGGTCCTTCCTCTTCAGTTTTGGTCTTGAGTGTTACTGAACCATTTTGACTCATCAGGTAAATTGAGAAGCTGTTCTATTCCATTTCCTAGGAATTATTTATTTTTTATATTACCCCTCAATTTTGCGATCTTACTCTTTCTTTAGCTAAGCAGAGACGTATCCTAGCCAAGACCCGGGAAAGCGGTCTCCCTCCATACTTGGCATCCAGATTCTGACCCAGTATTTTGAGGGCATCCCCGTCACCCTCCTGTCCTCACAAGGAAAGAAGTTGCATTCTAACGGTATCACTTTTGGGCTCAGGGATTTTACTGAAGCATTAGTACCCTTTTTGTGTATATAACTATTTAGTAGAATTAAGGTTAAGACTAATTAAAGGTATTTGTTGAATTCTAATAGGTCCCAAGAACTCTACCAAACCCTGTCCCTCATAGAGTTTACATACAATGGAAGGAAATAGACAACAAACAATAAATGGACAAAATATTTGGATCCTATGGTAAGAAGGTAGAAGAGACAATGTTACTGTGAACTTAAGGCCTGGTACTTAGAGAATGACTTTATGAATTGGTGATATTTAAACTGAAGCTTGGCATTGTACAGGAATATAAGTTTGGTGGGTCATTGTGGCCTGGCCGTGATTAAGTGGGGAAGATGACAGGAAGTGAAACCAGAGAGGTGGACATGGAACCAGATTTTGTAGCGGTTTGTATTTTAATCTGATTATTAATGGAAGGCCACTAGCATTTTTTAAACTATTAAATACTTCAGTGTATATTTCCCCCAAAGAATATTATTTTACAGTCACAATACAGTTTTGAAAATCGGAAAATTGAGAATACTATTTTCTAGTATACAGGCTTTTATGGATTTTAGCAATTCTCTTAGTAATGCCCTTCATAGCAAAAGAAAATCCAGCACCACACTTTGCATTCAGTCTTCAAGTGTCTAGGTTTCTTTAATCTGGGAAAGAGTCGCTTAATATAAATAGTTGCTTAATAATCTCGATAGGAGACTATTCCATCGTCTTATTTTGTCCTAACTTAATCAAAATCAGTTTTTCTTCTTTCCTCTTATAATTAACATTCTTCATCATAATATTTAATGATTCTATAATTCTTTCCTCCCAGCTTCTGTTATTTGAGCTGAATAATAATAACCCCTGAGGGACCTGTCTCTCAATTGTCAGGCAGTTCCGCGAAGGCCTTATTTTAACTGAACCAGAATCCCCTTCGTCAATTTCATTTTCTTTCATTTTCTAGATTTCATTAAAGGAAAAGAGCTATCTTCTGCTGTTTTTTCAGTGCAACTAATCTCTTAGAGATTCAAATTTGTTTTTCAATGCTGCCCCCCAAGTTATAGGAATCCAGTATGCCATTTGATAGAAGGCGGATAGCCCTGATACAGTTTTTTAAAGATAACATATTAAGTGTTAGCTTTGGCCGCACACACACTAAAATTGGAACGATATAGAGAAGATTAGCGCGGCCCCTGCGCAAGGATGGCACACAAATTCGTGAAGTGTTCCTTATTTTTCATCCCTTTCAGATGTTGTAACTTAAGAAGAAGATAATATATTAAGCAGTATTTTAAACATTTCAGAGAAAATATTCAATGAACCTGTAATTATTGATTTGTGTAAGTTTTCAGTGATCATGGTTTACTCACGAAATAGAAATTATTAAATTCAACTAAAAGTAAAAAGAAAGTTTAAAAGTGTTTGAAAATAATTCGGAAGTGCGTATTTAGTAGTACGATACAATTTTTTATACGCAATAGTGAAGAATAAAACCTAATGTAGCTAAATAATGATTAAGGAGTCAAAAAGTAACCCTAGCCTGCAAGCGCCCGGCTAGCTCAGTCGGTAGAGCATGGGACTCTTAATCCCAGGGTCGTGGGTTCGAGCCCCACGTTGGGCGAACGGTAGCTTTTGTGTTTTCCTTATTTGTTCTTAAGTTTCTCCAAAACATAGCTACAGAGGGAGTCTTAAACCTAATTTGTGTGAAGTATTTTTAATATTAACCAGGTCTCTAGAAAAAACTTGAAAACTCAGAGAGGTCTCAGACTGCGCCTGCGCACTTGAAAGCACACGTTCCTCTTCCTTTCTGTGGTTCCTCCACAACCTCGTCCTGAAAGCGCGGAGGAAACTGAAAGGCCCAGGTTTAAACCTGAGACCCGTTTTCTGTTACTGTATTATGCATACTTGCATAGTTTCTGGTAGAGGGCAATATTTACTTCCATTAGAACAAAAGACGAGCACCGATTTTGACATCTTTTCCAAAACGCAAAGATCTCATGTAAAAGCAGCTGGGTTGGCTGCAGGACTTAGAAGAAAATGTCGGGTTTTTTTGTTTTTTTTCTTTTTACTTTTTATTATTTTTATTATAGGGCATGTCCTGGGGTAGAGGGTAAATAGGGAATATCCCCTAGAGAATATACAGTGAGAAGTGTTTCTTTCTGTACAACCAGACTTGTACAACCAGTACAGGCAAGTTTTCTTCCATTGCTCTCGGGACTATATTTGGGATCTATCCATCCGACGGGGTGGCTATTAGGAAGTTTATATTCTGGTAAGGGCAAGGCTCTTTGAAGCAGAAGCTCCCCCCACCACCCCACCACCCCCCGCCAAAAAAAACTAAGCTGTGAAAATTCAGATGAGCATTTAGGTATTTACAGGAGACAGGGTTTCTGCCTTCTCTCTTCCCTGAGAATTCTTAAGTAATGAGAAATAGAATGTTCACACACCCGGACCACCACCACATTCAGGTACATCGCAGAATCTCACTCACTAGATAAACAGGTGAGCTATCCATGCTCCCACCTGAAGGCAACCCTACCTAAGGCACAAATTCCTATACTTCTGTGTGTTATCCACCAGCTTTCCTCCCACTTACCGATTTTTCTTGTTTCCTTCAACATACAAATATGCTGTTAGTTCTCTATTTTAGAGAACAAAAACTACTTAACCCAGTTTCCCTGCAAGCTATTACTGTTCTATTTTTCTGTTCTCCCTTGAAACAAGTCATCCTCTTCGCAGTCGCCTACATTCATCATTCCTCTCCTCACGTCTCTTAACCCTGGCAATGCCCTTCCACCAGACCGAAAAATCAACCGTAGCTGAACAAGTTTGGTTCATTACTCATTGCAGGCATAAAGCTGAAATTAGTAAAGTAACAAGTCACTCATTTAGCAAGAGAGAATGTTCGATGTTTTGAGTTAGCGTACCGTTAAGTGGACTATAAATCAAGGTTTCCCACAACCCTTTACTCAGGTTTGATAATTTCCTACAATGGCTCACAGAACGGAAACTTCTTACTTATTTGTTATAAAGGTTACAACTCAGGAACAACCAAATGGAAGAGATGCAAAAGGCAAAGAATGAAGGCACAAGCAGCTTCCATGCCCTCTCCTGGAACGCCACTCCCCCAGCACCTGGGCACGTTCACCATCCTGAAAGCTCTCTGAACTCTGCCATGATGAGGACTCATCATGTATACGTCGTAGATTAACAACTCAAACTCCAGCCCCTCTTCGCCCCCCGGAGGTTGTGGGGTGGAGCTAAAAGTTCCAAGCTTCTTATCATGGCTTGGTCTTTCTGGTGACCAGCCTTTACGCTGAAGCTACTCAAGACCCCACCAGAAGTTGCTTCATTAGAAGAAAAAATGCTATTACCCAGGAAATTCTAAGGGATTTAGGAACTCTGTAAAATGCTAACTCTCCATCATCCAGGAAATTATAAGGGTTTTAGGAGCTTTTTGTCAGGAACAAGGTACAGATACCAAATATATTTATTACTTCACACTCACCTGTTTTCTTCTTTGAATCACTAAGAAATGACACCAACCCCAATCACCCTATTCCAATTGGTAACTACCCCACCATCCACTTTACCATCCGCGATTTTTCCCATAGAAGATATCACCTTCTGTTGCTATTGTCTCTTCACTCCTACGCCCTTCGGATGTAGGTCCATAAAGGCAGGATTTTTGTCTTTGCTCACTAATGTATTTCGAGCACCTAAATTAGTATGACAGATGTTCAAAAATGTGTTCAACTGGTGAGTTAAGAAAGGGGGGTGTAGTAGTTTTTTAGGGCTGCCACAAAAAAGTACCCCAACTTGGGGGGCTTAAAACAAATGAAATTCATTGTCTCAGTTCTGGAGGCTAGAAGCTTGAAATCAAGGCATAGGCAGTTATGCTCTCCGGCACTCTCTTCAAAAATCTGTTCTATGGTTCTTTCTTTTAGCTTTCCGACGTCACCAGCAATCCTTGGTGTTCCTTGGCTTGCAGCTGCGTAACTCCAATCTCATCCTTGGTTTTTACATGCTTTCTCCTTAAGTATCTCTGTTGCACATGGCATTTTCTTCTTCTTATATGGACACCAGTCATATTGGATTAGGGCCCACCCCAATGACCTCATCTTAATTTGATTACATCTGCAATTACATTTCCAAATAAGGTTTCATTCACAGGTACTGGGAATCAGGACTTCAAAATATCTTTCTAGAGCACACAATTCAACCCCTAATAGTCGGCCCCATTTGTTAACCTCAACCACTAGGTGTCTGACACTTTAGAGTAGCTATAAACCTCCATTTTAGTCAGGGATCTTATTTTTTAGTATTATTTAATGATGAAAAACTTTTTATAAGTAATCCAAACTCAGCAAAAACAGAATTTTATAAATTATTTACTATAAAAAAGACAATGTTAATAGTAAATCCATATAACTGACAGCAGTACATCTATTCCTGGCAATCTCACTGGGAGGTTTCAAAGCTAAGATATAAAGGGGCTTTGTTCTTAGGGAGCTTATATTGAAAGGAAGATAAAACCTGTGTAGAAACAATTACAAGGTGAAACTGTGTGTGTCTCAGTTGCAGATATTGTGCTTACGGGAAAGATCGTTGCTTTGGGGGAAAGGGTGTTGTGGAAGACTGCTAAGCGCAGAAGACACAGTAATCTCACTTTTAGAAATGAATATATTAGGAAAATAGATGGCAATTTTGAACATTTATAGTTTTTATTCACTGGTTTAACATGGTTTTAAAGTTCTTCATAATCTAATCCTAATTTATAATTAGCCATGCCTAATCTCAGTGCCAAATGCTTTAAGATTTTGTGTAGAGAATTCAGTTCACGTACCCTGGAATAACCCCCAATTATTGCAACTCTATTCATCCTTCAGGAACAAGGACAAAAAACTCCTCTGTGAAGTTTTCCTTGATTCCTTGGTCAAGTTACAACAGTAACAAGCAACTGATAACCCTACCAGATTCTGGTTTTATAATCAGTTGTGGATACACCCACGTCTAACCTGTAAATCCCCCAAAAGTAAAGATTCGTGTCTTACTGTTGTACCATTTACAGTTATCTAAAACTATACTAGGTGCATACCGAACAGTCAATAAATACTGAAGGAGTCTTAGTCTTCAGCTACTAAAGCAGTAGAACATGGTGACAGTCCTACTGCTAGAGGAAGAAGTTTTTTAAAAAGTAACACACACACATACACACAAATATAAAAATGAATCCTTTCCTATTCTCAATGCCAGGAACCGGCTCTTTCAAGTGGTAGTTGGCTTTAGTATATTCATACAAAAAGCAATATGGCAAAACAAGGCAGGATCCATAAAAGGATGAGCAAAATGACTAAGTAAAAATAAACTTGGGATAGGATATACATATAGTCCAGAAAATATATCAACTCCTACTCTCTCTTCAGGAATGAAAATACATAGCTATCTACAGGGGTTGTTTGTATGGAAAAATAATACAATAGTTCATAAATAATACAAGAATAAACTGTTTTGCATATTCACAACTGTAAACCTACTTCTGCCTGCCCCTGTATTTCCATTTTAAAGGTACCCAGAAAGAATGAAAGCACCAAAATTTCAGTAACAGGGAGTTCATTAAAAACAAATGAAGAAAAACAAACAAAAATAAATATTAAACAATGACTGAGTACATTATTTCAAAGAACTGCTGCCCTGAGATGACACACACAAAAGATTAAAGATGTTATGATACATGTTTATGAAGCAGTGCATAAAAACACATCAAATAAAATATCTGCATAAAAAAATCATTTTTTCTTTGAAATGCAGAATGGTTGATAAATAAAACTATGAGGTTAGAAAGTAAGTATTTCCACACCTTGTTTAACAAATGCTTACCTATGCTCCCAAACATAGTCCAAAGAGTTAGACATATTTCATGGATACATAAATACCAGAACAAAAGGATTTTTAAGAAATAGACCTATGTTAATATTGTATTTGAAATAATTGATAATGGTAACATTATTTGTTCTTTAAATAAAATAGTTGCTAAAAATAATGAAATTAATGGAATTGTCAAAGCCCAGGACAGATTATGTAAATAGTGGAGTAAATGTTATTATTCTTTAAAAAAAAGTACTATGTAACAAACTTCAAAAACTAAACTGCTTTACTATATTTTATTGATATAACAAATTTCATAAGCTCAAGCTACCATTTTACCACTACACCAGAAAAACAAAAGTCAAAAGAATTAAATATTGAAAAGTAATTATAGAAACTTCTGCAAAAGTCATCTCTAATACTGTCTCACATACTTTATACAATTTGTTTGTAATTGATCTGATATTTGAAGTGGAGCAATGTTGAATTTATTCAAATTTTTATTTCTCAGTGGAAAATGCTCTTTTCATCAGAGGTGGTTGAGCCTTCCCAACATCAAACATCATTTCCAAAGGTGGGTTATTGAGAGAACACCAATCAGGAATACGACCTGTCTGATTATAATATTCCTTTGAGACAGAACGGCTCCCCAGTATGTCTTGCAGTGCTCCAAAAATAGCTCCTGTGTGGTAAAATATTTTTGTAAGTAAGATGAAAACTGTTACCAGAAAATTTTATGTACTCATACATACTTCATTATATGACAAGACAGAATAGGTAAAATTCAACAATGCATATTCGCACTCTTTAAATTAATTCCAGTTAAGCTGTTCTATATCCTATATTTTAAATAACAGGGTAAGCCCTAAATACTGTGTACTAGACTACAACAGATTATAGTGAAGATATAACAATTGTTATTGTGTCTAAAAGGAAGTGAGGCACAGTGGGATAGAAAGCATTTTCAACTCTGTAAATAGAATAAAAACCCTTAGTTTTCTTTGCAACAACTCTAAAAGCATCATTATAATATCCTAAGAATCTATGCTGAAGACCTTATAAAGACTCCCACAAGGCAGTTTTTAAAAACAATTTAGTAACTACATCCATTTGTCCTAGATCAAAATTACATTTTGACAAAATTCTACTTTACTAGAGATACAACGTATATTTAAAAAGGTTAATACTTCGTTTTTCTCTCAGAAAGATCCTGATACCTATTAGCTCAAACTGCATCATGAAACACATATCAGAACGTATACAAATATGCATATCCATGATTGTTTTTCTCTTTAAAGTAGTCTCTTTATTAGACTATAAGCTATTTCCTTCTTTCAATGAAACTATCATTTTGTAAGTCGCAGAACTCAGTCACAAAATAAATGTAATTATAAAGTAATCAATTTTCATATGGCTGAAAAATTAGCTTGGTAAGGAATTAAAACATGTTCTAAGAAATGGTGGCATCACTGGAATAAATGCACAGCTATCACTATTAAGAGGGATGACTTTAATTGAACAAAGAAGTTTATTTAAAAAAATCAAAGTACAAATACCAAGAGAAATAGGTATATAAATCTGAAAATTAACAATTGAAGGAAAAGGTAATGTTCAAAAAAAATTCTTTAATAGTTCTATTAGTTTATTAGACACTGAATCATCTACTGTAATATATCATTAAATACTATTCAGGAAGCAATTAGTACATAATCATTATAGTTTAAAAACTAAATTCTTACCTCCCAACCAGGCCACACAATTAGCCTTTGCAGGTGGAGTATGAATACGGAATGTCTTGGTGCCAAGTGTTTTTTTATATTTCGGCTTTTCTACCAAATACCTTATTTCTGCAAGCAATCTATGGAGAAATCCAGGCAACATAGATGTGCCACCTATGACTACCAAGTTCTCTGCTAATTGCTTCCTGGTGTCTATTGGGCACTGTTATCAAAGAGAAATAAAAAGAAAAAAGGATTGATCAGTATATTAACGGTATAAATAATGCTTGACTAGATTTAAGAAAACATACAGCTTAAGTATTACAAATTAAATAGGTGATCATTTGTATTACAAAAATGGCCACACAAGGTTTCTCTAACAAGGGAATTTTCATGTAGCAAATATAACCACCACAATAATATTGCCATACACTCAGAGAGAACTTTAAAAATGTTTAAATTTAACAATAAAGAATTTTAAATTCCATAGGGTATATAGTGGTAATATGTGAGCATTCTCACTCTCAGGATAGAATGACTGAGTTGAGCAAAACATAAGAAGAAATAACTTTTATTTTTCAGTGAGGAAAGTGTGAAAGCTTAATTTTCCTAAGGTATTACCTTCACAGTATTATATCTAGAGCCAGTTGCTGAGTGGAAAGATAATATTCTTAGAAATTTTTTTTCTGTATCAGTGTTCTCTAAGAATTAGAAATGTTAAAGTCCTTCATTCGTGTTATATTTTTTTATAAAAGTGTCTGAGTGGAGCCCTAGAGGTAGACAGTATATTCCAAAATGATGTATTTCCCATGAAGTTCTATGACTGCACCACCATTAAACAGAAGAAACATAACACCATATACCCACAAGAATTTAAAATTCAATACTACACAAACCTGCATTTGAAGAAACTCTAAGCGACACTAGGTACAAAATAAAAATCTGGTATTGCTGCTATGGAAAAAAAACACCCCTAGGTTTGAAATACTGTAGTTACTTATTCTAGTGCCAAAGTAAAACTGAGTAACTGTAGAGTGTAACATAAAAGCTAAAAAATGTAACTGATCACTAAAATAAAACATTTTAAAAGGCTGTAGTCATAAATTTAAATATCTTACAAAATAAAAATACCTGCATAAGGGAATCCAATATTAAAGTGGCAACTGATTTCTCTTCATTATCTTGTTCAAAAAGAATTTCCACAACCGAATCCCTAATGAGATTAAAAACAGAGTGCTTTATTGGCACCACATAATATGGTAAAGAATATACCATTACTTCTATTGACCTATTTTTAAGTACCAGTACCATGTTACTGTAAAATAATTATTAAGACACAATGTGTTTGCATTTGTAAACAAGAATAATAGTACCTGTCTCACAAGTGTTGAGGTGAGGATTCAATGCGTTAATAAAATAGTGCCTGGCACATAGAAGGCACTCTCTAAGTATTAGCCACAATTACTATTATATATAGATTTATATATATCTTGTACAGATATACCTCCTTAAATTCAATAACAGAAAAATAAAAGAATAATTCTGTAAAAGTTAATGAGTCAACAAGCAGATCAGCAGTGATAGAAAATTTAAAAACAAACATCCTCGCCCTCAAAGCATTTCTGTTTTTAAAAATAATACATGGCAAACACTGCTAGTTGCCTAATATCCATTTTATATTTTTTCTTTTTGTTCCCAAATTAAAAGAACCCTAACTTTGAGTAGTAAAAGGAAGATCTTTGTGACAATGGAATAGCTACATATCTTGACTGTGGTGGTGGTGGCTACAGAAGTCGACCTGTGATAGAATTACACAGAACTCTTCATGTATGTTACAACAATGCCAATTTACTGGTTTTGATACTATACCATAGTGATGTAAAATATAACTATTGAGAGAAATTGGGAGAATATGTGAGATCTCTTTATATTTGTAACTTCCTGTGCATCTGTAATTATTTGAAAATTTAAAAACATTTCTAAGGTGAATACAATGCCCTCCCGAGTAGAAACACTCAATCAGCCTCCCTTGCAGCTAGATGTACCTAAGTACTAGACAATACAATGGAGGCACAAATGATACATAGAACTTCTAGAATGTCTCCTTAAAAAGAACAAGAAGCGCCTTTTTCTTTCCCCTCCTAAGACTGATTGTTTGAAATACAGATGTAGCGATAACTCCAGCAACTCCACTAGATCCCAAGGAAAAAGGCTACACATCAAAGATAATAGAAGGATGTTTGGGTCCCTGATGGGAGTTGTCATACTACCCCTGGACTGTCTATATATGAACTTCTCTTAAATGAGAGACAAACTTCTATCTTGTTGAAGCCACTATTTTCACAATAGTGTAACTGGTGACCAAACGAAATCCTAACCAATGCAATACAAAATTAACTATACATACGCATATAGAACACTATTTAAAAAATTATGTTGGAATCATACTATGCATATTATTTTAAAGCTTTTTTAAAACTAAGTTTTTCATGAGACTCAGCCTACTTGCTAACTCCTTTTCATCAGTAACGTGTACTGAGGCCTGCAGCATTGTGAATATCACAGCTAGTCACCCACTTGCTGCTCTGCTTGCATACTATTGCTCCTACCAGGTGAGCTGAATGCGAACAAAGCATCAATTTCCTTCCTTTTTTAATCTGAGGATTTCAAACTAATGGGTGAATAAGACTAAAGCATTAGTTTCTTTTTCCAAATCTTTGTCAGTTGATACTGAAATTACATAATTCAACAAATATTAATTAACCAATGAAGTGTTAGGGTAGGAAATAAGTTGGTTTTTTCTAGGTGAACTATAGTGAATGTTTTGGAAAGATTAAGTAATTTTAAAATCTTTTTAATATATGTATTACAATTGTAAAAGTCTATCTAGGATTGTGTACCAAAACTGATTCACAAATAACTTTGAGTTCTCACTGTACTTAAAAAAAAAAGAAAACTGAAAATCATAAACCATTAATTCCTGGTTTATGTAAATTTAAGCCATATCTCTAGAGGTAAACTTATCCTCAAAGAAAAGGTCTTGGTAAAAAGTCTGGATAATAAATACTTATAAATTTTAAGTTAAAATAAAATGTTTAGTATATGATTTTTTTTAATGGTCCTTTCCTTTATTTATTTTTTAATCCTCATAGGAGGATATGTTTCATTGATTTGAGAGAGAGGAACAGAGAGAGAAAGAGTGATATATCAGTTGGTTGCCTCCTGGAGATCCCTTTACCCCACAACTGGGGATAGAAACCACAACCTACGTATGTGCCCTGACCAGAGGGATAGAACCTGCAACCTTCTGGTGTATGTGACCATGCACCAAGTGAGCCACCTGGCCAGGGCTGGTCCTTTCCTTTAAGTGACTCTTCTTCTAATGTACCAGTGAACTAACTACTGGGCTAGACTTTATCTAAATATAAGATTTTAATGGAACTAGATTTTTTTGTGGAAAAGGATATTAGCAAACAATTGTAAATTAATTGGGTTTAGAAAGTAGACATGGTGGCTTTTTTATTACCAATGTACTCTCTTACTACCATGTAACCAAAAAGCTCCATATTAACTGAATTTCCTTGAATACTTATTTTCTTTTATTCTGGGCTCTACTAAATAATCAGGAGAAAATTTAAAATAGTAATTTAATGAATATATTTATATGAGGTAAAATGGTAAGAAGTCACCACCAAAATGTGTTGCATTTCCACTTTTTTGTTCCTCTAACAATCTTAAACACCTATGTATTTATGTTCATCCTTTTATTTTCTAATTTTTTCCTAAGATTTTATGTATTTATCTTCAGAAAGAGGGGAGCAGAGGGAGAAAGAAAGAGAAGGGGAGGAAGAAAGAGAAGGAGAGAAACATCAGTTGGTTGCTTTCAACCCAGATATGTGCCCTGATTGGGAATAGAAGTGGTGACCTTTAAGTTGGTAGGCCAGTGCTTAATCCACTGAGCCACACTAGCCAAGGCTGTTCATCCTTTTAATACTGCAAACTCCCTGGCTGGTGTGGCTGAGTGGATTGAGCGCCAGCCTGTGAACCACAGGTCACTGGTTTGACTCCCAGTCAGGGCACCTGCCTGGGTTGCAAGCCAGGTCCCCAGTAACGGGCGTGCGAGAAGCAACTACACATTGACGTTTTTCTCCCTCTCTTTCTCCCTCTCCCTGTCTAAAAATAAACAAAACAAAAACCTCAAACTCTATGTTAATCATCTGGAAACCTAACAAGATCTTAAATATTTACATGATTTCTGTGCATCTTCTGATCGAATATTTTACAGACAAAACTTTTATAACAAATTTTATAAAACTTGGGTATAAACAAAAATTATACTGTTACCAATATAACCGTGTAAGTCCTAACAACACTTTTATTGCATTATCAGGCACAATCATCTAATAAGTAATAAAAAGGTGAATTACTAACTGGTCTTAGGTATTCAGTATATTTGGAAAAACGCATTCTTTCTAACAAGACAATGTTTTAAAACAAAATTCAGCAAACTATGGCCTTCAGGTCAACTCCAGTCCACTGTCTGTTTATGCAAGATCTATCAGAACACGGTCACACTCATTCATTCACAGCATTGTCTATGGCTGATTTGGCACTCCAACTGCAGGGCTGAGTAGTTGCAACAGAGACCATTTGACCCACAAAGCCTAATCTATTTACTAGTTGGCCCTTTACAGAAAAAGTTTGCTAAACACTATTTTAAAGTATAATAGTTTATTCTCTACCTCAAAGAATGGTTAATTTCAGTAATTATGTTCTGAATTACTTTGATAAATAAGAATTTTTTTTAGTTTTACAAAATTGAAAGGTTGAATAGTGAATTTATGAATGATGAGGCTTAATGAAAAACATGTAACAACAAAATTAAATGTTATATGCAAGTATTTTTAAAAGCCAAAAATTTATTTTAGTTAATTATTTTGCTCATAAAAATTAAGGTTAAACCTGATTGATCCAAGGACATGTAAAATCTTCTCTCCATCTAATGGGTAGTCAACATTTGGGGGTGGTGAGGGGCGCTGAAATGTAAATATAAATAATATAAATATAAATATAAGTAAATCTCTGAAAAAAGAATGTACATTTATTTTGAACTTACCTCAGTATTCCCATCGATATTAAATTTTGCTGCTTGGATTTTTAGTCCACGTTTCAGATCACTTACAAAGCAAGTGCGCACTTGAAAGAAAAGGAGACTTTGTTATGGTTTGTGATTTAGTTAATCTATGTCCCCGTTAAAAAAATCCTATTCAAGTAGACACACTAATCATCCATTATTTCAAATTTCATAGACTATCCCTGTCTTTAGTAGCTTATGACAATTTATTCTGAAATAAAAAACCCTTTTTATTCACTAAGGAATCATAAGACATGTTGTGATCATCTTCCATAAAACATTTTTTAAAAAAACACCTTTGAGGAAACTATTTTGTTTTGATATTCTTTATATAAAGAGCACCATAATAAAAATAAATTTTAGCATCATGAAAATGTGTAATTTAATAAAATGTTTCTTTGAACAAGACTGATCTATATACCTACATCTAATTTTATGATTTATGTATCTGATTATTTTTTAATCTTGGTTGATCAGCCAGCCAACCCAAGCCAAACTTTACTCCTAGTTACAGTAACACTCCTTAGTTTTCAGTTTTTTTACATGATTACTTTCTCCCTCTTGCCATACCCCAATACTATCACTTTCCTTCTATTATATCACCATTTTTGTTTTTATACTTTAAAATCACTTCTTTTAAAGATTATTTCTACTGCAAAGTACCTTTTGTAATAAGATGTTCCAGGTTATTTTCTGAAATAAGTAAACAATAGCCTTGGCAAGGTAACTCAATTGGTTAGAGCATCATCCCCATATGCCAAAGTTGAGGGTTCAATCCCTGGTCAGGGCACATACAAGGATCGACTAATAAATGCATAAATAAGCGGAAAGACCAAACAGTGTTTCTCTCTCTCTCTCTCAAAATTATAATAGGTGAACAATAAAACTTTTAAAAGTAGAAACAAAATTGATGTTGAGTGCAAAAAAATCTAATGACTTGGTTAATTATAAAACATGCTAGTTAACTATATATGGACATGTATAGAATTATTTTCGTTCAAAATATATTTAAGAATCTACAATATGTTAATATGCTAGAGATAGTAAGCTAGATGCTCAAGTTACTTATATACTTTTATATTTTACTCAAGTCCCCAGAACTATCTAAGTAAGGTATAAATGCCTAGCCTGCAAGATCATATATACTTGGTGGGGAAAGGAGCCCCTCTTTAAAGAAACCAAACTCACTGAATTTAAAAGCCAAAAATAGATGAATTATACTTAAGAATTTTAAAATAACTGAAAATTGCCCTGGCTGGTGTGGCTCAGTGGATAGAGTGCTGGCTGGCAAACCAAAGAGTCACAGATTCAATTCCCAGTCAAGGCACGTGCCTGGGTTGTGGCCCAGGTTCCCCAGTTTGGGCCATAACCTCTCGATGTATTTCTCACACATTGATGTTTCTCTCCCTTTCGCCCTCTTTTCCCCTTGCTCTAAAAAGTAAATAAACTCTTTTAAAAAATAAAATAATTGAAAACTTAGGTAATTAAACAAGTAAGTAACAAATATGAGTGAGTGATGCATGTTTATTTTAACAGAAATGGGTTCCAACTGTACATATTATTCAGCAACAGCTTTTTCCCTTAATATGGACAATCTTCCAAATAAATACATCTAGATCCTTTTTATTAGCTATACAGTACTCTTTATTATGAAGTTACAAAATTTAATTCAACATTCTCCTCTTGGATGGGATGCCCACTTTCAATTTTAATATGCTAGATTTGATATGCCATGACATTCTCAGCACTAAAGAACACTGAATTATATTTTAAATAATTTTCCTTTGGGTGAATCAAAATACCATAAAACTCAATTTAAACATTATCATAAAAATGCACTTTAGCAAAGGAGAAGTAATATATCTTATTAAAATGAACCCAATATACTTTGGCCCCAACTGTAGAGTTTCTGAAGTCAGTAAAATATCTAATCTTATAAAAATATATTTTAAAAATTAGGCTAAAAAAAAATCTACATGATATAAAACCAGTGGCTTCTTTCTTAAGCAATTTAACTGTTATTTCATACTGTGCAAATTATAAATTCCCTACTAACCCTGTATACTAAATCTACAATTGAGAAGTTTCTTCAATAACACATCATAAATAATGCCAAAAACTTACATAAATCTAAACAAGAAATTTTATTTTACATTATTCCATAACCTATATGTAAAATATTTTGGGGTATTATGTAATAACTTTAATATACAAGTATTTTGTATCTGTGTAAATATTTTAAAACACATGCCATCCAAACCAATACATAAGAATCAAAGGGACAAAAATAACTTAGTTTACCTTTAATGTCCTCTAGGACACCTTCTGGAATTGAACCTAAAAGAGAAATTTAATTTAAAACTACAGAACTTTAATAATAAGCAAGAAAGTCTTTTATATTGCATGCACATTTTCATTTCAGCAAAATTTTAAAAACATAAGTACTATAATTTTTTAAAAAGCCAAATAGAAAGATTAAATTGCTTTTAGAGGCAAGAAACTTCATCATTCAAAGCCAAGCCAACCACAGAAGTTAAAGCCAGATGTATACAAAGCACTACTGGGTGTCACTACTCATAAATATGATGAAAACAAGATACCTTAAAAATGTAGTCCAAAAATTGGCATTAGATAAAAGTACCTTTTCTACCATAAAAAGAAAATCTTTCCTACCATAAAAATATTTGTTGATTATCTTGTGGTACTTAGAAGAAAAATAAGGCTTAAACATGAGTTATTTATTTTTCTTTTACAAAAAATGAAGTTTCAAGTTTGATTATCTTTCCTATGATAATTAGTGGTTATCAGTAACATGCTAACCTAATATGTATATTTTAAAAAGGTTTACATTCAGACTTTTACTTCTATCCTTCAAGGTAAAGGTGATATTTTTAAAAATTAGTGAGAAAGTACCTAGTCCAAGAAATCTTTACAATATAGGAAGCCTTTGGAAGATGGATGTTTAGATATGTGATTTTTTTCGCCAAGTCTTGTTTTCCAAATCAGATTCATAAACAAAATTTTCTAACCTAAATACAAAATCTTCTAGACTCAGAATTTTTAACCCATTGTTAAAATGTAAAAATATTCTGATTTATAAAAACAAATTATTTACATCAAGATAGACAAAAATGTATAGCTGAAAAAGAAATCATGATTAATAATGGTAATCATTCACTTCTTTCATCTGGATCTACATATCTTGTCAGCTATATTTTTAAGTTGTGACAGACACTGAAAATAAGTATTAAATCAAATTAAACTTAAAAACTGCACCTTTGCCCTGGTAAGGTAGCTTAGTAGGTTAGAGTATTGTCCTAATACGCTGAGGTTGCAGGTTTGATCCCTGGTTAGGGGATCAACCAATGACTACATCAATAAGTGGAACAACAAACTGATGTTGTTCCTCTCTCTTAAAAAAAAAAAAATCAGTAAGTAAAAAATAAATACTATAGAATTTAGAATAAAAAAAATCTTCATAATGTTAAACCATAAACTTTAAAAAGTAATAAACAATATTTAATCATATTGCTTTTTGGAGAAGCAAAACATTTTTTATAAATTTTAAGTATGACTTTAGAATTATTTTACCTTTATTATCCCATCCTTCCCAAATTCTTACTTTTGTGTTTTCTCTACAGTAATAATAGTACACATATCTTTAATACTCATACATACATATTGAAGGTACCTGTTCAAAATTTTTTAACTTACGGGGCTAGTGTATATTCAAAGTTTTAAGATTCCTTAAGTGTTAAAATTTATCTCACATGATGATAAATACTCCCTGACAGATTTAAATCTGGCTATAAATAGATGATAGAAATGTAACTAGATTATAAGAATTTACCATTTAAGAATAAGTGCTAAAAACTATAATATTCTACAACGGCTATACTCTCTCTAGGAATATTCAAATATGTTCCAACATATGCCAAAGACATTGGGTAATCCAAAAAGTTTTCTTTAGGCAACATGTAAGGAAGGCTTAAAAATAAAGTGCTTATTTTAGCTGGGTGTAGAAGCTGCTTTCAAAAGGGGCTTCCTTACATTACCAAGTAATCATAGCTATTTACACTTTGCAAATGAAAAGTATAAACAAGAGGCACTGACTGGCTCTGAAAAATATTTATTTTCAGTTAACTTAGGAGAATAAGCAACATTAAAATTTTGTATATAATTTACTTTTAAACAGTACACTTTCAAATCAATGTAGTTAGGTTAGTTTTTAAGTTATAAGGCAATTTATATATTCATTCTTTTTTGAACTAGATTCTAAATACTAAACGAAAGAGGCTTATTCAAAGTTCTGGTAAGGAAACCCAAATATGTGTAAGACTTGCATTTAATTTTTGCTAAGGATTTCACAGGAGATATATATCTTAAATATATTTGAGTTTCTGATGCTCCTAAGTGGGTCCTTTACCAAACAAAATTTGTTTGTTTTTTAATCCCTTAATTATTGGACTACAAAGCTTACTATCACAAACACAGATTTCGGGGAGTATGAGAAGGAAAGATTAGAATTAGGAGTCCAAAACAGTTGCTTAAAAACTTGTTGTCCAAAATGTACAGCTCAGAATTTTTAAGAAAATGTCACAGTGTTTTAAAGAAGACCTGTATTAAGAGTATCTTGGGATGTTGCACTAACTCATTATCTTTGGATAGATTTCATAAATTAACTGTCATCATGATATACTAAAAGGGTAGGAAAGTTTATCTAGAATGGAAAAAATTATAATCTGATTTATAGAACAATGAATGTTGTTATCTTAACTACCAAAAGAATGGAAAAGAAATATATACAAGGATAAATGTCCTAAAAACTTGCCTTTCTCTTTCCAGCATTCACTCAGTGCCCAGCCACTACATTAAGAATTACAGACTGAAAAACAAGTAAGACAGGAATCCTCAAAGTCTACTGAGGGAAACCAGTAAGCTAACAAGCACATAAGAACATGTCTTATGTGCTAGTTAGTACTGCTGAGGGCTTAACAGATAAGGCCTAACAATTTTTCTGCTTAGGGAAAACAAGGAAGGCTTTGAAACTAAGATGACATTCTGCCTGAGTCATGCAGAAAGATCAAAAACCCAAATAGGCAAAGAAAAACATCCCAGGTAAAGAAATAGAAAAAATGAAGGCACAAGGCTGTGGAAGGACTACAGTGCCTGGGAGATCACATGAAATTTACTGTAGCTAAAGTAAGGTGCAAAGGGCTGAGGTTAGCAGGTAAGGCTGAGGTGGAATAAATTTAGTTTGTGCAGAAACATGTATATCAAACAGGTAATTTGGATTTTATCCTAAGGGAGCCAGCAAAGGCTCTCAATCAAAAGAGCAATGTAATCACAGTTGTTCTGTGAAAGTTTTCCCAAGCAACAGTGTGAAATAGGCTGAATTAGCCCAGAGAGTAGGCTCATGTAATAATCCAAGCAAGCAATAAGGAGGCCCTAGTTTACAACGTCCTCGTTTCCATATGTTCAGTGGTGTGGATGACTGAAAGTAAGTTACAAAAAACAAAAATGAAATTTCAGAGAGATTTCTAAGGGAGAATCAAAAGGACTTGATAACTCCCAGTTTTCTAAAATGGAAGATAGGAAATATGCTATCTTTATCCAAGAATGATTCTCTAAAATGAATTTAGAGGAAGAGTTAATGTGTTCACTTAAGTTTGAGGTGCCAAGAGACATGACTAGTTTATATCTAATAATCGGTTGGAAATATGAAATCAAGCTTAGAAAATAGGTCAGGTCCAGGGATACATTTGAATATCAACAGCATTCCTGAAAGCCAAGGGAGGAGATAGTATCAAGAGTACATGATAATCCTTTTCCCGGCTTCCTTGAAGGTGGATGCCAGAGCTTCACTATCAGCCTCTCACGGCAGCTTGTACTCTGCTTCGGTGGCTTGCCTCACAGTCCCCCAGCTCCCAGAGCAGCTGCTGTGGGTCGCACGCCTCCACTGGCGACAGACCCATGGCAGAGCATGGGGAACTTGACCTGACTGGCGCCAAACAGAACACCGGAGTGTAGCTGGTCAAGGTTCCTAAGTATTTGTCACAGCAATGGGCCCCTGGAAGAGGTGAAGTTGGGAAACTATGGATTGCCAAGAATTAAGGAAGGACTGAGATGTCATTTACTTTAAATGAGGATCTTGCAAATATTCATGATATTGGCAGAAAACCAGCTTCAGTCAGTGCTCCAGGAGAACATCCTTTTGTCTTGCAAAGTGTTGGAGGACAAACATTAACATTATTTACTGAGAGCTCATCAGACTGAGACGTAGGTAGATAAGCGTCACTTCCTCGCACAACCAAAAGAAGGATAACAATCAATTTAAAAACAAAAAACCACCAGAACTGTCAGAAAATCAAACTGTATGGAAGTCCAACAACCAAGCAATTACAGAAGAAATGGTGCGCTGAGACAAAGAAAATCGGCCCAAACGAAAGAACAGAGAAAACTCGAGAAAAAGAACTAAGCAATGAACAAATAGCCAACCTATCAGACACACAGTTTAAAACACTGGCAATCAGGATGTTCACAGAAATGGCTGAGTACAGCTGCAAAATAAAGGAAGAAGTGAAGGTTATACAAAGTGAAATAAAGACAAATATACAGGGAACCAACAGTGAAGGGAAGGAAACTAGGACTCAAATCAACGATTTGGATAGAAAGGAAGAAATAAACATTCAACCATAACAGAATGAAGAAACAAGAATTGAAAAAAATGAGGAGAGCCTGAGGAACCTCTGGGACAACTTTAAATGTTCCAACATCAAATCATACCGATGCCAAAAGGAGAAGAGGAAGACCAAGAAATTGAAAAATTTGAAAAAACAATGAAAGAAAACTTCCCCAATCTGGGAAGGGAAATACATATATACAAGTCTAGGAAGCTCAGAGTCCCAAAGAAGTTGGACCCAAGGAAGCACACACCAAGGTACACCCTAATTACATTACCCAAGATTAAAGATAAGAAGAGAATCTTAAAGCAGCAAGAGAAAAGGAGACAGTTACCCACAAAGGAGTTCCCATCAGACTATCAGCTGGTTTCTCAAAAGAAATCTTACAGGCAAGAAGGAGCTGGCAAGAAGTATTCAAAGTCATGAAAGGCGAGGACCTACATCCAAGGTTACTCTATCCAGCAATGCAATCATTTAGAACGGAAGGGCAGATAAAGTGCTTCCCAGATAAGGTAAAGTTAAAGGAGTTCATCATCACCAAGCCCTTACTGTATGAAATGTTAAAGGGACTTATCTAAGAAAAAAGATCAAAACTATGAACGGTCAAATGACAATGAACTCACAACTATCAACTGAACCTGAGAAAACAAAACAAACCCAAACTAAGCAAACAACTAGAACAGGAGTAGAATCACAGAAATGGGGATCACATGGAGGATTATCAGTGGAGAAGGGAAGGGGGAGGATGAGGGAAAAGGTACAGGGAATAAGCAGCAAAATCGGTAGGCACAAAGTAGACAGGGGGAGGTTAAGAATAATATAGGAAATGGAGAAACCAGAAACTTGTATATATATGACCCACGGGAATGAACTAAAGGGGGGAGAATGCTAGAGGGAATAGGGGTACCACCGGAGAGGGATAAAGGGGAGAAAAAAATGGGACAACTGTAATAGCATAACCAATACAATATACTTAAAGAGAAAGAGAGTACATGATAATCAACAATGTCAAAAGTTCTAGAAAAGATGACTAAAATTAAACTGCTAGATTTGGTGATGGAAAGCTCAATGATAACCTTATAACTGGAACAATGTCATCAGAGTGATGTAGGGGGGAAAGAGAATAACTATGTAATGGGGTAAAAAAAAAAATTGCATTGAAAAATGAAAAGAGAATGTAAACCACTCTTAAATAGCTTTAAATGATTTTACCCATCACAGAGGGAAGGCTCTGTTCTTTAGCAGCACCTGTATCCACAGTACATTGTTCCAATAATTGAGTTTCCAACTCCCTGAAGGTATAAAAAAAAAGTTACTGGAATTAAAACACTGCAACTGATACCTTTTTCTTACTTAATACATTAACTGCATAATGCATCATCATGCTTTATGTAAAAACGGTTTTATCCTTTAAAGATGAATATACTGAAGACTAACAGAAAATGAAATAAAGAACATTAAATGTCTATATGTCCTCTATTGAACAGTTAAAATATTATCATGTTTTTGTGGCACAGGAAAAGAAAATGTGCTAAATTCCAAGAAACTTACCTGTGCAGAGCTTTTCCTCCGAGGGGGAGTGCTCCCCAACAATTAAGTACTGGGATTCCTTCATATATCTATAGGGTAGTCAAGGATATTACTCTTTTAGGAGATAAAATGTGGTTTCCTTTATATTTTCCTCACCTTCTGCAGTATTGTTTTAAATCTAAGAAAATTTTTACTTCTTATTTTTATAAGTTACAGAAAAATCAGTCTCTTTTCATATTCTTCTCCAAAAAAAAGGTTAAACACACAACACGCAGGACTCATTAGTTTATGATGGGGTCTCCAATAAAGCAGCCACTGGCTACATAAAGCTATTCAGTTCTTGAAATGTGGCTAGACTAAATTCAGATGTGCAGTAAGAATAAACTCTACACAAAAATCACCAAATTTAGATTTAAAACAAAAAAAGCCCCTGTAAAATATCTCATTATATATAACAATTTTTATATTGATTGTTCTTCCATTTCTATTTTTAAAAAGGTAGGACCTGAACAGACACTTCTCTAAAAAGGACATACAGAGGGCCCAGAGGCATATGAAAGGATGCTCAACATCACTAGTCATCAGAAAGACTCCAATTAAAACCACAATGAGATACCACTTCACACTGGTCAGAATCGCCATCATTAACAAACAAACAAGTGCTGACAAGATTGTGGAGCAAAGGGAACCCTAGTGCACTGCTGCTGGGAATGCAGACTGGTGCAGCCACTGTTGAAAACAGTATGGAACTTGCTCAAAAAACTAAAAATGGACTGCCTTTTGATCCTGTGATTCCACTGCTAGGATTATACCCTAAGAATCCTGAAACACCAATTCCAAAGAACCTATGCACCTTATGTTCATAGCAGCCCTATTTACAATAGCCAAGGGCTGGAAACAGCCTAAGTGCCCATCAGTAAATGAGTGGATCAAAAAACTGTGGTACATTTACACAATGGAATACTATGCAGCAGAAAGAAGGAACTTCTACCCTTCGTGACAGCATGGATGGAGCTGGAGAACATTATGCTAAGTGAAATAAGCCAGGCAGTGAAAGACAAATACCATATGATTTCACCTATAAGTGGAACCTAATCAACAAAACAGATGGGCAAAAAAGAACCAGACACATGGAAACAAAGAACAAGCTGAGTGGGACCAGAGGGAAGTGGGGAAGGAGGATAACGGGGGAAAGAAGAGGAACACGTACAAAGGACCCATGGACAAAGACAATGGGGAGGAGATTGTTTTGGGGAGGGAGTAGGGGAGAGTAATGTGGGGGGAGGGGGAACAGGGGCAACTGTTAACTATACAGTAAAAGAAAAAAGATGAAAGTTCAATCACAGCAACAAGGTACATTCTTAGGAAGACAGATTTGGAATATAATTCATGTGAAATAAAACTATAATTGTCTTTCATTCTTAAAAAAAGGTAGCTTAGAAAACTTTAAATGTAAATGTCTTACATTTTATTTCTATTAGACAGCAGAGAGGATAGTGCACAATATTGTAATGTGGGTTTGCTACCTTACTTTATACATTGTTTTTGCTGATGTCTTGTAAGTACGATATTTATAAAAAGAAAGGTATATTGATAAAAGCATTGGTGTTGGCAACAAACATGGGTATATATCTTGGCTTTATGCTTCTATAATCTTAAGTTAACTACCTATCCAAACTTTCAATCTTCTCATTCATAAAATGAAAATAATACTTAAGTTACAAGGTGATTGTGAGACTTACAAACAAAACACTTTATATTTAAAAAGCTATTGCCTAATTTAGTTCCTTAGAAATTAATGATTCTTGATTTCCTTCCTATTTCTTCTAATAAATAAATGTAGACCTCAAAATTGCAAATCTTGCATTTGTATATTTCAACCTCATTTTCAATGTAGCTATGTCCACTGTTATATTTCTGAGCAACATATACTCTGCTTAAATGCTTCTAATGACAAGGAATTTACCAGTTTATAGTAATTCTATTTTGGGACAGCTTAAATTACTAGAGATGTTGAGAATGATATAAAAAGTATAGCACTTATTGAGCAAGTTAATATATATCAGGTCCTTTGCTAAATACTTTACACATACCATTTCATTCAAGTCACACAACACTCTATCAGGTGGAATTATTATAATTCCCATTTTATGGATAAGGAAACTGAGGCCCAAAAAGCTTAAGCTATCTGAGCAGCATCATACAACGATCAGGAAGCATAGCTGAGATTTATACTGATGTGTGTATTTTATCCCAAAACCTAAATTCATAAACCCTATGCTATACTGCTGCCTTGATAGCCTCTGAAGTAAGAGAAAAACACATATTAAACATTCCACAGTGAGCTCTCCAGCTGTTTGAGGGCACCATTAACTTTTAATTTTTCTTGATTTAACTTTTTCATTTCAAGTTTCTCCAATTGTTCTCTGTATGATTTTTTTCTTAGAACTTGACTATCCTAGTCAACTTCTCTGACATGTCCAATTAGCTGATGTTCCTGTTAAGAACTAAACATAATATTCATGAGGTCTGATCCCTAGAGTATATACTGGGACCAAGTCATAATAATAATTTCTACAAAGTAAATTTCAGTCTCACAATCCTGAGAATTTTTTCCACATGGTAATTCATATTTGTACATGGTAACCCAAAATAGTTTGGTGCAATAAAAACCATTTGTAATACGTCCAATTATTTTAAAGTAGAGTAAAAACTGCAAAATTATCTGGTTGACAAAAAAGATACAGGTAACACCAGGCTTTCCCTATATCCACAATCCAGGACCATGGCAGAGTTTATCCCAAGTGTCAGAAGAGCCATTAGATGGCTTGGAGCAAGCAAGACAGATGGAACCTAGAAAACAAAAAAAGCAGAATGAGTCAGTAGTTGAAGGTGTTTGCTTTACATTTCAAATATATTTGAAAACCCTCCCAGGAATGTTACATTTATTTATATTATAATACCTCTTCAACAATTTTATGGCACTAAATTAAGAACTAGTTTGTTGGTTTATCTGAATTTACACATAATTGAAATGTAATGTAGTAAATAAAAATACTCTTTAAATTCTTTAAGTTGTTTTGTTCAAAAATAAAGTATTAAAAAAAAATTCTTGTTCTCTCTCAGAGGAAAAATTGAAAGAGATAAAAGAAGAGGTCTAGAAATATAAAATCAAAAGAAAATGCTACATTTAAAAAATAAAAAGATGCCTTTACCATCAAAATGAAAATACAGAAAAAGAATTGATTGTATTTTTCCACAAAGTATAATATAAACTATATTTTAAAAACATTATAATATAGCAGTTAAAATTAAATTGAAGAACTATAAAATATTTCTCTGTAACATTTTTCAGTGAGAATTTGCCAGATCTGGTAACACTCCAAATATTAGATAAATATTCAATCAAAACCTGAAAGTCCATTACGACCAAATCGCAAACAAAGTAATGGCTGTATTTCCCTTAATCTAAGTAGAAATAGCAGGTATTCCAGTCATATACAAGGATATACAAACACAACTAAAAATCTAAGTATAAACACAAAGAATCATGTACTTTATTTGGATAAAAGCTGAAGTGATTTCTTGTTTTGTTTGTTTTCTCCCTAGTAGAAACCAAATTCCTAAATCTATACTGTCAGTAAGTATAGAAGTATGTAATCTGTTTGTCTTAATAAACTGTAAGTTAGAGATTTTATTTGCCCTCATCTCATAGATATGATTTTTGATATATTTTGAGTTCAGTAAAATGTATAAAAAATACATTTATATGTGCTTAATTTCTTATATGCTGTATATATTTTATACAATCTTCTAGTTTCCCTTGTTGGAAAGCCCTCAGTTCCTAAGGCAGCGATTTAAAAAAAATTTAAATAATAAAGATTATCCATATGACCTTTTCTTAGAATATGAAATTTAAGAACCTTATCATAATTTTGGTCTTTAAAATAATCTTGACTTCCATGAAATGGAAGTTACAAGAAATATTAACTAATATCAAGACATAAGAGTCACTCCTGACACTGCCTACCTAGTCTAAGGGAAACATTATTTAAATATTCCATTTAATATGAATTTAAAGCTTAAAATGACAGAATTGAAAAATCTGGCATACTCAGCATAACTGAACAATAGAAACTAGAGAGGCCTGGAAGAAACACATCATAAACTCCACTGTATGTAATAAACCTTTTAATTCTGGGGGGGGGGGGAAGTCCCCAAACAAACAAAAAAATCTGTATTAAAATAAATAAGTAACAGAAATATCAATAAGAGGAAATCTTCTTTGATCTAAGCAGTGGATAAAATGCTAACTATGCATGAAATAACCATACAAAGAAAATAAATGGTCAATTTCAGGACGCCTCAGTTAACTCTGTCATCTGGTTCCTTAAATGCACTGTATAGTATATACAATGAAGAAAATAAATGACGACCTTTAAGTTTAAGCTTTGAGAACCTACCAAAAACAATATATAAAAAGGGTACCTCAAAATACTTGAAAAGAACGCGAGTGAGTGTCTCTCTGAAGTGGGAAGGACACAGTACCGACTCAATAACCACAACTCGGCGATCTCTGGGATTCACCAACAGATGCCTGAAAGGTGAGTTTTGTTTTCAAAAGTAAATAAAAGTTTTTATTTATTTTGGTACATATTCCAATTTGTTAAAAATAGAGAAACTCTACTACATTAACTTAAGTTGCTTTATGACAAAAAGACACCTTCATTTTTCTCCCCAGGAAAGATAACAACATCCCTGACCTCTTAACTATATTTCATGCACTGTGTCACTGTGTCAGGAACTTCATTCACATCTATTAACTTATCACAGAAAATAAAAACAACAACTTACTATGAATAACTTGAGCCATTAAAAAGATAGCTTTCTTTTTCTTTAGGTTACAGAAGAAAAAGTATATGCTCACAAAACTCCAAATATAAGTTTATAATCTGGAAAATATAAATACCTCACCGTTCTATTACCCAGAAATTACCATTTATAGCATTTTGTGTATTTTTGTATTGTATAATGCATACATATATTTTAACAGAAATATTCATTCCATAGTTGTTGTTCTCCAACTTGCTTTTTCCAATTATCACCAATATATCTAAGATACCTTGGTACATATAATCATTTTTAAATGTCTGTTTTATTATAAGGATATACAATTATTTAATTATCCAACTCCCTTCATTAATGGGAACTTGATTTGTTCTCAGTATTTCCTCACGGATGACCATTTTATAGTCTTCGAATATATTTGAAAAAGGTTGAAAATAAGCAACTAAAAATGATAATGGAAGTCAACTTTTTTTTTTCCCATCAGATGTAACATGACCAAATTTCACTATGAACAGCATTAGGAAAACCTAATCACAAAAGCTGGGGAAAAAACAAACAGCATTGTATCCTACCTGAAATACAGTATGTGGATAAATTCCTTTAGGTAGGAATATAATTCTTCTGTATTGATATTATACTGAACAACTTTGATAGGCTAGAAAAATTAAAATGACATTAATTTATATTAATAAAATAATCTCAAATTGAAACATACTTGATTTTAATAATAAATCAAAATCAATCTGTATTGAAAATAAATGCAAACATTAAATGTAGATTACTCACTTACATTAGAAATCCTTAGGACCTGGCATGTCTAAAATGATAGAATTTTTTTGCTTCAGGACTTGAAAGTGTGTGCCCATAAGTAATTAAAGAGCTACATTCATTTTCATTTGTCCTTTATCATATTTATCATTTTGGCAGGAATAATAAAATATTAGCATCAATTAAAAAGCATCAAAGGCTACAGACTTGGTCCAGTTCCTGTCAGTCATTCCCAAAACACTGATGCTTTCCCTCTTGTAACATTACCTATAAAATGTCTACCTTCCTGTTAGACTGCAAGCTCCATGGGCCACGAGCTATTTCTGGTTTACTTATAATATAGTCTCCCTTAACTGATACAGTACAATACACAAAGCTAATAAATACATGTAGTAAAAAGGAAAACACACATCTTTAGCACTAAAGCAGTACATGCAAACACTACCAAACGACTAGTGCTAAATCAACACAAATACCTAACAAGGTTTCACTTAGAATCCTTAGAAAGCTTTAAGTACTCTGATGCATCATTGTCAGACCTTTCTTCACTTACTCTTTTAAAGACCATCAGCTCAGCTAGTTTCCTGATTTTATGCAGCCTAAGAAAGGTTCTGAACCATGCATAGCTGAATACAGAGTAATCTTCACAAATACTTGTCTTTCCAAGAAGATTAAGAGCTGAAAGCACTAAGAAAAGTGCAAGGAGAATGTAAAAGTTCAAAGTCCAGTCAGGAATGTATCTAGTAGTCTATCTAATAACAAAATAACACCAATTAGTACAAAACAAAACAACAAAAAAAATGAATAGGCAGGAACTTCCATCACATTTAATACCACACCACAAATATCTACTATTTTTTTGGCTTGTCTAAGAATTTGCATAAAATTTTGAAATCAATAAAAAAGGTCTCTTAAAAGCATAAATGAAAAGATGTCTGATTCTATATATTTCTTATGTTCTTAATGATGCATCCCCAATACCAAATATAAAATGATGTACTAGTCTCTTCTGCTACATGTGCTTTTATAAAACCAAAATGTTCATATTTAATTGTCCAAATAAAGGAATACTGTCTGTAATAATGTGATTTTTGTGTTAGTTCATATTAGGCAAGGGGAACTAAAAAATATGGTAACAGTTATTACTTTCATCAAGAAAAATCAAGTCATCAACTCAGTGGATACACAGGTCGGTATCCTTTCAGATTTATTTATAAAAAGTATGCACGATCCTATGTACCATGGTCCCCCTTCTCCGAATGGACCCTTTCATGACTCTTTATTGGGCTCCATTTACTCTTGGTCCCACCTTAACATCAGCCCTACTGGCTGGCTAGGAGCTCACTTTTGTCTGCATTTTCTCAGCACCCACTGACCAACATTTTCAATTTACTAACTTTATTTTTAATATCCCCAAGAAACACTCCAGCCACATTCAACTGCAAGCCAAATCTGTTACAATTTTTTCCTGAGAGATCAGTGATTGTTTTTGCTAGTGCTTTGATTACAAAGTTACGTGGTTTTTATATGGTCTGCCCCAACCCTATTTTTTCCATAAGCCCATTTTTGTTTTTGATTTTTTAAAAAAGATTTTATTTATTTATTTTCAGAGAGAGGGGAAGGGAAGTATAAAGAGTGGGAGAGAAGTGAAAGAAACATCAATCGGTTGCCTCTCGCATGCCCCCAAATGGGGACCTGGCCTGCAACTGAGGCATGCGCCCTGACAGGGAATCAAGCTGGAGACCTTTCGGTGTACTACAGGCCAGCGCTCAATCCACTGAGCCTCATCAGCCAGGGCTGTTTATGATTTTAACAGGCGAATTTTATGGCATGGAAAATTATTCTTTCTATTGTTCTACAATTCTTTCCTTTCCTATTCAGCTTTGGCAAGAAAACTGTCTTTTAAAAATTGTTTTTCACAGTTTTTTGGATCTTGGAATTAAAGATAAAGGACTGAGGACTTGGCTTACATTTTGAACAGGATAAGAATAAAGTCATTCTATAATTATGTTACATTATAAAGCTCAAAAAATTATTTTACAAGGTTAAAAACTCTCATGATATTATATAATTTCAACTGTATAAAATGTACAGAAGAGGCAAATCTTTAGACAGAAAGACTGAGTGGTAGGCTGGCAGTGGGAATCGAGATAGGGATAAATTGTGAACAGGCACTAGAGATCTTACTGGGATGACAAAAAGTTCTAAAACTGGATTGTGGTGATGGCTAGGGAACTTAATATATTTACTAAAAATTACTGAATTGTACTCTTAAATAGGTGAATTTTATGGTATGCAAAATTAAATTAAATATTTTTAAATTTTTTTCTTGGAATATAAACATAAGGTATATAATACAGTTAGCACTGTTCTAATCAATCTTATTTGAAGTCGCATTTTAAAATACAGTACAGTATTTATTGCTAATTTGTTTTTAAACAGACCTTAGGCAAGCCAGCTTTTTTTATCACACTAGGAATTATGCATCTTGGACTGGTTTCTCCAGCAAATCCACACCTGCAAATAAATAGAAAATTCAAACACTTAAAAGTTTTTTTATATATTTGTCATAGCAACAAGTTTTTCTGTATTTGTTTAAAAGCAATGGACATAAACACATCTGGAAACATCTCTGATACATTCAAAGGGACCAAAAAAACCCTTAAAAAATGTTAATTCCATCTCTCTAACTTCACATTAAAAGTTAGTTTCAAATTAGCAACACTGACATATATCAGGCTTTTTAAAAAAAATTTATTGATTTTAGAGAGAGAGGAAAGGAGGGAGGGAAGGGGGAGGAGAGAGAGATTGATCCATTGTTCCACTTACTTTCGTATTCACCCTTTGCTTCTTGCACTTCCCCTGAATGGAGATCTAACCTGGAACCTTAGCATATGGAGATGATGTTCTAACCAACTCAGCTACCCAGTCAGGGCTATATCAACTTGTAAAGCAGCATTTATTTTTGTTTTCAATTTTACACAACACATTTCTACAATTCTGGATCTGTACTATATTATGATTTCATTAACATAAGTTACTTGTAAGTCCATCATTCTAATATGACTATCTTCTACACTGACAGGTTTCCTTTTGGTCTATTTTTAAAACTATGAATATCTGATACAGTTATAATAACACTGTTGATCCATCATAAACTCATATAATAAGTGTCTGCCTATATTTAATCTTTACCACTCCCATATTTTAAAGTATATATTTCATCATTTTAAAAAATTCTTCTTTCTTATTTAGGTATTTCCATTTGTTTCATGTTAGTAAAACAAAACTTTAAAATGTTGCTAAAAAATCATCACCATTTAGGTTTAGTTTAGTCTGAAAATTATCTCTTCTTGTTCTGTTGTTTTCAGTACTGCTCTACAGCTTATTTCCAAAAAGCTCTTCACATCTTCTCCTCATCACATCTCCATGTTTACTTGCACCAGTACTACTTAAATTTCCCAGGATGCAACTCACTGGTCCACTTCAATTCCTTTCTTTATAAATTCATCTTATCACCCTCCTGTTGTCTCTGTCCATAGTCGTCTTCCAGTATAGCAGCTTTCTGCTTCTTAGTTCCTCAACAGATAGCCAAAGTAATTATCTTTGGGTGTCAGCCTCAAGATATTTATTATGCCAGAAATAAACTTTTAGAAGTTTAAAAATTCAAATAAGGGAAGATTCTGCATTGAACAATAAGAGAATGGACTGTTTAATCCGAGGACTGTTTAATCCAGTTCTGGTACACCTGAAGTCCAATTCTTTTGAACACGTATTCAACAAAGTTATTAAATACCTACTATGTGTTCGGCATTATTCAAATTTTATATATATAAAGATTTTCAAATGTTTCCATTTCAAATACATACAAGATGCAATCCTGGCTGTCACTCTCCTCTCTCTTGAGACCAGTACAAGAGCTCTCAACCTGCAGTCCAGTGACCACTGTGATATTCGCCAATCCCTGAAACTATGTGCAAACATATTAAGGTTTGTGTACATGTGGCTTTCTTTCGTTAGTCAAAGGGATCTATGCCATCCAAAAGGTCGAGAACCGCCAGTGTTTACAAGTTGCCTTTCAAAACGGTAATTTTCCTAATCTAAGAGGTTTTTTTTTTTGGGGGGGGGGGGCAATCTCAAGAGTCTCATCTATAGGGTATCATCTCTTTGAATGATGTGTTCAGTCTCCCTAATTTGATTTCCTACTCTTGGGGGGCAATGACCCCCGTCTTGAACATATTTGGATTTTCAGCACCAACAGAAGCTCCATTCAGTGATTAATGATAGAGATGTTCATCAAGCGTTACAATTCGGTTGCTAGCTTCCTAAGGCAGCCATCCTTGCCTGGGTGACTCCAAAGGGTCTGCTCGGTTTCGCGCAATAAACAGGAGCGTCTACAAAGGCAATCTCGCGAAATCTCTTGGGCCTCCCTACCCACCCCGCCCACCAGATCCTAGGTATTCCCATCGCCCACGGTGGAATTAACAAGGACCATCACTTGCGGAGAGGCTGGGTGAGGGAGGAGTGGGAGGTGGTGTGGGGCCGCCGCAACTTTCCCCGTGAGCCAGGAAAGAGAAACCGGGCCGGACCTGGGTTTTGGCCACTCACCCTACCCCCCGACCCCGCAGCCGACGCCGCGGCCACTCACTTGGTAAAGGCCTCTCCCAGATCTATCACGACGGCCGTTTTCTCCCCGCCGCTCCCCAGGCCCTCGTACAGCGGCATGGTGGTAAAGAAGACCGTAAAGAGGAAGACGCAGACCCAGGACCCCACAAGCTTCGACTCTCAGGGGGCGCGGCCGGGGCCGGAGCAACTGCGAGCGAACAGAGGCGACGGCGGGGACCTCGCGGGGCCGCGGCGCCCGGCTCAGGGCTGTCCCAGGCTGTGCCTCATTCCACGTCGGACCCACATCCTCGCAGGCTACCCCTTCTGCGGGACTAGAGAGGACGAAATGCTTGTTCCGTTGGGAACTTTAGTGCGGGGGGCGCGTGGCATGAGGTGAACGGAAGCGATCAGGCGCGCTGGCCGCCCCGAGTGGAGCGGAGCCACCTCGGGTCCTTCCCTCGGACACGCCCTCAAGTGGCGCTCGGGTTGGTGGCTTACGTTGCTCGTCGGTACTAGCTCTTTTGATTTCCACGCGTTAGCCGAAAAAGCTCAGGCATGGCTGAGAGAGAGAAGGCAAAAGCTCAAAAACTTTGATTAGTGCTGGCTTGGGGCAAATTTTGCTGTGTCCGTTGTTTTACTTGTAACTTAAGTTTCTGAAGACATGCAGAAAATAGGTGTTATCTTCTCACCTGTGCGAACCGAAACTCAGGGATTAAGTTATGTTGTCAGTGCCACAACAGCAAAGCTTTGGACCCCAAAGACTATGATTTCAAAGCCCATACTACTGATACTTGAGAGTGTAGTACGTATAGACAATTTCTGTACGGATAGTTATTTTAATCCAAAAGAAAGCTGTTAAAATAGCATCCACGAATCTTCATCTACTGAGAAACAGGGTAGTTTAACAGAAAGAATATTGAACCAAGGGCTCCTGTTTACTCGAAAATTGAGGAGCTGTGTAATCCGAAAAAAGTTAACTCTTCCTCTTCCAGTATGAACACCACAGGAATTCTATAACGTAGGTTGTTTACAGCTTTATCATTTCACAGCTCTTTTTTTTTTCTGCTGAAATTGCCACGAAAACAAGTTATTGGGATGGGTTGCTGCCTTGTCTCTAAGACTGTAGAGAAAGGAGTGACCTGTTTCCCCACCCCGGGCCCCCACCCCAGTAAGTCTCTCTTATCTACTGTAGATACCTGAACCTCCCTACAAGGAAGGGTAAGATCTTAACACAGTAAGGTTGTACAATGCATACGTGTGAACAATGTAATGTTTGTAGAATTCACTCATTAATGATCTTACTGAAGCAAGTTGCCCGAGGTAAGAGGATGAAGCTGGAGTTAAAATGGGGACGGAAACTTAAAAAAGAGTTGAGAAAAGATGAAGCATTTCGCTTAATAAAGTCAGAGTGTTTGAGCACGATCCTTAACTCTGGTTCAAATTCTGTTCTGCCACCTTCTGTCAAGTCTCTAATACTTCTGATCATCCGTTTTCTTATTTGTAAACTGTCCCGCTACTTCAGGTATTTATGAGGATCAATTGAGATTATGAAAAGATTATTATTACCCATACTGTCTGCTCACCATCTGTATTTGTTTTCTAGGGATGCCATAACAAAGTAACATAAACTGGGTGGCTTAAAACAAATTTGTTTTCTTACAGTTCCGGAGGCCAGAAGTCCTAGATTCAGGTGTCAGCAAGGCGATGCTCTCTGGACGCTCTAGGGGAGGATCCTTCCATGCCTCTTTCTAGCTGCTGGTGGTGGGCTGCAATCCTTGCTCTTCCCTAGGCTTGTAGCCGCAGTTCCCGGTCTGTGTCATCATCATCACCTGGTCTTCTTCCCGAATCTTTGTGCCTTCATAGGATGTTCTCTTCCCTGTGTTTTCACATTTTTTCCTTCTGTGCATCTTTGTGTCCAAGTTTCCCTCTTATAAGAATACCAGTCATTAGGTTAAGGTCCTAATCCTAACCTAATATAATGTCATCTTAATTGGATTATATTTGCAAAGACCTTAACTCCAAATAAGGCTGTATTTTAAGGTTTCTACTGGATAAAAATTGGGGATGGGGGTGAATACTGTTCAACCCAGGACACCAGTTAATTGTTAGTATTCTCCATGGTTCTGCCCCTAGATCTCTTCTTACTGTATACACTCTCCTTTGACAATCTCTCCCATTCCCATACACGTAGCTAAAGTTCATATTTGAGTTCTATTTGCTAGGTCTGTTTGCTGTCTATAATCTTATTTATTCTTTATTATAACATTATGAGTTAAGAATTATTATCTCCACTTTACAAATGAAGATACTGAGACCAAGAGAGGTTAAATAGGACTTCCAGCTGGTAAATGGCATAGCAGGAATTTGAACCCAGACAACCTGACTCAAGAGTCAAAACTGCACTGCATTAAGTAGTAGTTATCCCTTAATCCAAATAATTATACTTCATCATAGAATTGTCATCCTTAGTATATGAAGTGACGTAAGAGGTTTCGAAGTCTAAACTCCAAACTGATACAAGACTTTTACTCTCTGTCTCTGATGAGAGTTGTTTCCCAAACATTTCCTGTGGTGAACAGAGGGCTCATGACTAGTTGGGATTTACAATATATTGAAAATGCATTTGCAAATACAATTACATTTTTTTAAAGAAAAAAATGCTGTAAGGATAAGAATCATCTTAAAAAGCTCAATTTTCTGGCAACTTGAAATAATAGACCCGAGCTTACATCCTAGCTCTGTTAACTGACTGACTTCAGGGAACTTGATTAAACTCTGGACTGCACTTTCCTCTTTTGTTAAATGAAGAAGCTGCAGGAGCACCAATAATCTAAACTAGGTTGAACTGGAATCTGCATTCCTTTAGCTAACACCTCATTCTCCCCCACTCTACATTTTTCCCTCAAGCTAGGCATTTCTATTCTTTTAACTGTTTCTCATTGTCATAGCTTTCAGGCCACTTACAAATCCATTTACCCACTTGTAGAATTTCTCTCTTTTGTAATGTGCCCCCTAAATTACACAATACCCAAGATGCATCTGAAGAGCTTATGCTATGATAGGGCTCAACTCTCTTTGCTTCAGCTGCTATGCTTTATTAAGAGGTAGTGGTGGATTTGTTTGTTTTATCTTCAGTCATATTACATTATTGATTCACCTTGCAAATGAAAACCTAATGTGTACCTAAGTTTGGAGGTTTATACCTCTTTCTGTTAAACTTAATCTAGCTAGTATTGGTCCATCTTTCCAGCCTTTTCATATCATTAAAAAAAAAAAATCCAGGCCTTTTTGAATCAAGGGTCATTAAGCATATTAAATATAGTGCCACCAACAAGTTTGAGAGGCATGCTTTCAAGGTTTTCATTCTTTTAATTAATATTTCATTCTTTAATTACTATTATATGGTAGGTCCAGAAACTACAAAAAAAGGAAAGAATAGCCTCTGCTTACAGATTATACTGGGGAGACGGGCATACAAAGTTAATGTGTACTATACTAGAAATATGTGAAAGAATTAAAGGAGGACAGAGGAAGGGACCAATCAACTGCCAAGGGAATGGTCAGGGCAGCTTCAGGGTGGTGTTCATTCAACCATTCTTGAATTCTAGGAGGTGCTCTGCTAGGCACTGGAAGCACAAATATAAAGCAAAATTACTAGCCCTGGGATCTTATAGTCACACTTATGGACAAGTACACAAACTTTTAAAACTATTGATAAAAGCTGATGCTTGGATGAACGTGGTGCTCTAGGGGCAGAGACCAGGGTGCAACTTTAAATCTTTCCAGGGCAGGTGGGAACAGGAATACCTAACAAAGGACACAATACATGAACCTGTCTAGAAGATTAGTGCCAGTTTTCTAATGCAGAGCTACAGGGAGGGCATTCCAGTGTGAGACATGTAAGAAATAGGGTAAAACTAGAGGGTGGTGAGATGCTGTCATTGATGGGTTCCAATCATTAAGCCCCTTACTGGTATGCTGGGGAGTTTGGATTTTATCCTATAATATAGTCATCATTCAAAACATGATAAGTAAGGGAAAGGCAATATCATATTTGTGGTTAGTTTGATCAGTTTGTGTTCAGTGCTTTTGAAGTGTGACAGAATAGCACAAAATGGAGGGGACGGAGACAGGTAGTGACAAACCAGTTTGCAAGCTAGTGCAAAAGTCCATAAGAGAAACGATGGCCATATATAGTAGGTTCTGGATAAGTAGTTTGATACATGAGAAATTATCTTTAAATGTAATCCATATGGGAAAAGACATGATTTCGTATTTAAAAACAAAATCACAACAAGGCACTGATAACAGTTTAGAGCTGTTTTCTCAAGCACTGTGTTAGAAAAATATTGAGTATTATGATTCAATCAACTGAAGTTCCATGATCTCAGGGGCTTTATAGTCCCAATTATATCAGTGCCTCCCAATTAATCCCTTCTAAAGTACAAGATTTAATCCGAATTGCAGCTTTCATAGTGTAGTTTTATTTTTCAACTTCTTTTTCAACTGCTCCTGCAGGTTTTGCTGCCAAAATGAAGATAATAACTAGCCCTTGAACACATGTTGATAAACTGTTCATCCTCACTCATCGAAGCCCTCCACAAAGCTAACAATCACTTACTGTCTCCAGGAATAACTCACCTTTAACTTGGAAATCAATGTTGGGTCCAAGTGGCTGGAAAGGTAACCTAATCCTAGACTTCTTGAATGCACTATAAAAGCTCTCCAGTGTTTGGCTGATGAGGAGTTTTCATCAGCACCAATGACTTAAGTAGTTGCATTTATAACAGAAACCTGAATGTCTCCTAGGTCCCTCTCCTTGTCCTAATCAGCTCCAAAGGCTTGCAGTTTGTTTTGTATAAACCTTATCTTATCCACTGCTACTCTGCAATCAAGATTATGACACCAGCTGCTTAATTGGTCTCTGTTCTCTCCACAGTCCATTATCTTATTGCAGGCAGTGAGCACTCTAAAATGCAAATACAATCATGACACTCTGCTTAAAATCTTTCAGTGACTTGCTGCAGTGTTCAGATAACGCAGCAGTTCTATCAGTCTGCCAGGAGTTTCCCAAATGCACCCTGCTGCTTCACACCTCCCCTATTGTGCCTCGAGTGCCTTATTTGGAATCTTTTCTCTGTCTTTCTAAACTCTGTTCAAGTATCACCTCCTCTTAAAGGCTTTCCCTGACCCCTGGTCCATTAGTTTATTTAGATTTTCTTTATCTGGACTTCCATGGCATCCTGTG